CGAGGGACCTTAGAAGTGCTAGTAGAGTGGGACAAACTATCATCAGCTGAGGCCACCTGGATTCCCTGGTCTGATCTTCACAACGCCTATCCAGATCTCGAGCTTGAGGACAAGCTCGTTGCCCAGGAGGGGTGTGATGTTATGAATGGCATTCGTAGGAAGGACATACTGCCGCCGCCGGCAGCAGCAGTGAGGAGGGCCCACACAGCAACTTATCTTGCCACGTCAGCTTATCCTGCCAGCTCTCCATTAGCTTACTTTATCCAGTTTTGTTCTTACTTATCTATTAGAGATAGGAGTTAAGTTATGTTCTTAGTAGGAGTTTGTTTACCTATTAGAAGTAGGAGTTTGATTTAAAGTTGGATTGTCCTAGCTTAGTCAAATGAAATAAGGAGTCACCTCTTGTAATCTCCTATTTAAGAAGCTGTGAATTGGAATAAAGGCATTCAGTTTTCCAGTTAAGAGAAGAGTGAGGAGAGTTCGGGTGGTCTCTTGGACAAATCACCCATTCGGTTGCCACAATAGGGTCTGCACGCAAGGGAAGGCGCAAGGGAAAGCAAGAGGTTCTCCCCGTGGACCGACCCGTGACGAGATCCTACGCCCGGGCCCATAACAAATTCATTAAAAGAAAAAGGCAGTAGAAGAAAATGTGATAAGGAATCACCCAAGACAGAAATAACAAAGGTAGACAACCCATTCCCCTAAACACTTTCAACTCTAAGAGAAATAGACCACATATAATGTCCTCAATTCAGAAACAAAAGCCACATCCCAAACATCTAGAGCTTCTCTTTTTTCAAACCTCAAACCCACTCTTCTTCTCAAAATCTAATAATTCCCTTCAGCCCAGTACCCATAAATCACATAATTTTCTTATTCTTCATGAAAATGGCCTAAAACCCAAAAAAAAATGATTTGATTATTACTAAAGAAGTATAAAATTAGAAAAATACAAGAAAATATTTAAGTATATATTTATATAATTATATATTTAATATGGCACTAACCAGAGCGGAATGGCGAAAAAGGATTCATGTAGCCAACCCCATATAGTTGAGACAAGGCCACATGAGTCAACAATTACATAAAAGATCAAGCTAAATTTAGAAAATGGTTCAATTAAGAACTACCATTTATATTTATATAATGTTCAGTTAAAATCAGACGGTAATAGAAGTTATGGATTTAAAAGCAAATGGATGGAAAGAGATAAAAACCTTTCAATGCCACTCAGAGAAATTCCCACGTGAAAAGAACATCAAAAAGGGTCTAGAATAAGTCACCTATACTAAGTTATGTTCAAACAAGTATAGAAAATAAGAAGTTAATCTTAGAACTCCCAATTTTGTAATAACAACCCTACTTTTGATTATATGAGGCACAAATCCTTAACATAAGGCACCTAAAGGGGTCAAATATGTGCTTTACAGTTTGTCCTGTGAGCTTCCATGGTTAAACCTCAGTGTCTTCCAGCTTCCCTAGGGCTTTCTCTAAAGTGTACTCATCCTATAAACCACTTCTTCAAGTGACTGCGGCACTGGGCACACCAAAAAAAATTTACCTAAAGTAATTTTCTTGAAGGAATGCAGTTTTCTATGAGAATGTAATGGATCTTAAAAGTAGGTCCAAAGTAAAAGACAAACAAATCATATTCAAAAGCAATAAAGACAATTTGAAGGCCGCAAAAAAAATATAAAGAACAGTTTAATCCATGAGCATTTGTGACTACTAAAATAACTGGTATAAGCAAACGTTGTCCTTTTGGTTTAATGAGATTGTTGGGGATTAACAGAAATAGCAGAAAGATATAAAGACTAGGAGACAAACCCGTACATCCACCATAGATGTTCTGACACGTTTATTGGGTAGACCATTTTTAAGCTTCTCTTCCAACTTTTGTGGCTCTACATCAAAAGGTTTTGAGATCATATGACTATGAGACCCCATGTTAGCCATGCTTCCTCCAAGAACTGGTCGTTCACTTGGTATTGAGGCATTTGGCCTGTCACTTGATGAAGCATCTGCTCGTGTTCTCTTCCTTACCAGAGTGCTTTGGAAAAACTTCCCAAATTTGGATATGGCATCATTCAAGTTTCTTCCTCTATCCCTGCATAGAGAAAATTTTGTTAAACAGTCCATATGCTCCAAATTGCAGCAGAAATAAAAGTAGCAAATACCTTGCTCTCATACTGGTCTCATTTAGAATAATCTTAGCTCGTTTAAGATCCTCTATCGCAGCCACCTTGCTACTTAAAGAGATAGATGGAGAATCACTACTGGCAGTGGCAGCAACTAGAATTCTCTTTAGTTCAAATTGTCGAGGGAACCTATGGTCCACAGCCATCAGTTTTGTATCCAGATGCAAGCATTGGAAAAAATTAATTATATCAAATTGAGTGACTGATGAACCACTTCTCGACATGCTTGGAAGTGCTGGCGGGATGCGATTTTCCATGCTCTCATGGAAGTTGCCTGACTTGTCCAATGAAGAACCATAGGCTCCACGCTGTCCAGTAGGGTAAGATGGCCTATCGGGGCTACCAGAAGAGAGCCTGAATTTACTACTGGTTGCCATTGCATTAATTTCTCCAAACCTTTTGAGTTGCACGCGCAGAGAATGAAGTAATATATGAAATAAGTATAGAGCAACCACACATGAAAGCCAAGTTAAGAATCCTAATGACAGTGAGAGCACAAACAGTAAGAGGCATGCCTGCAAAGAATGATGAAGAGAAGAGATCAGAACCCATAATCAAATGCAAACTTAAAAAGCAAATCAAATTCACTGCTCAAATTCAAAAGACAACTCTTCAACATCCATCAAAGAATTAGAAATACCAAATAGAAGCAATAATTTACAAACAATAAGAAAAGCAAGCAATAATCCTAAAGCTCCAAAAGGAAAAATCTCTTAGAATGATTATAATAGTTAGTGCAAGGATCAAACAAAATGTACTTATTTGAGATAAGGCATGGGAAATTCTATTTATAATATGAGAATCATAAGCCAATTTCTAGGTTTGGCTCATAATATTAAAATAGAGTTTAAGAAAAGCCTCATTCACAACATGACTGTGGGGCATTGGATTTTAGAAGCATTTGAAAATCCAAAAAATTAGAATTAGTATGGTTGTATTGCTTCCTGCCTTCTGGATTACCTTGTTTGTTCATAAATTTTTGGGGGATAAGAACTTGAAGAAGTTAGAAGACGCTCCATATATGAGGAGACCTTGCACAAATCATCTACAATCAGAGATTTCTCGTGGATAACATCTWGATTAATTTAGGAGTACTTAATAACAAAATTATAACACCTTAACATACACTAATATACAACAGAAGATCCCATACAATATCATTAAACCCTTACTAGAAGCTCTTTCTCTCCTTGATTTCAGTCTCTTGCAATTAATCAGAATGAAGAAGCCTTTTCCATTTGATCTTTATATTCACCTACACTCGACTAAAGAAAGCACTCTTTGAAGTCTTTTTTTGCTTCTATCTGTGCTTCCCTTTTTCTTTATATGCACATAGAGGGCTTACCAAATGATCTAAAGATCAAGAGCATGGTAACCTAGGAAAAATATCTCATGGGATTTAAATTTCTTTTCGTTCCGTTTCTATGATCCTAATTCAAACATTGCCACCTTCTATTCATGGAACATAAAGTTTATTGTTATAGTATTATATAAAATTTTTTTTTACCAACATAGGATGCAGGGGCTCACCTAAATTAATAAGTGTCTATGTTGGACAAACATCAGATTCCGAGACTCCAGGAACTCTTCAGGGAAACTTCTAAGAAAGCAAAAGTGCAGATCTTTGGAATCAATCGTAGAGGCAGATATTTATCTGAGAAATGGTGTTGGAGATTTGTAATTTAATGATTCTGAACAGATTCAGTACTTTATGTGCTTCATCTAAATATATCAAAGCCAATTGAATACATTACTAAGAAAAAAAAACAATATTCATAGAACAAGACCGAGCATAGAACTGGAAAAAGGATATAGGTTCATAGGTCAGAGGTTCAACTGAGGTCAAATTGGGGATCAGACCATGATAACATATATACTGTGGGTCACATAAATAGTATATGTAATATAATCACAAATGGTACCACACTTGAATGTGGTGGATAGATGGTTACTTCCTTAATCTTTAAAGCAAATGACCAGGGTTCAAGCCTCTCAACTTGCATTGTCTTTAAAACATGTGTATTAAAACAATATACACATTAAAAGAGGCAAAGTGAGCACAAATAAAGCAATGGATTAATGGTAACATACACATAAATACAAGGTCATAGGTTCAAGTCTTGCCATTAGCATTTAGAAATTTCCATTCATTTAGTGGCCTGGGCAGTTTTATGAAACCGGGACCAGTTCACCAGTTCTTCGGTTAAACTGGACAGTCAAACCAGTTTTGGCAAGTTTGTTATGAGTTCCGATTTTTAGGGTATGACCGAACTGGCCAGGGGGCCTGGTCATAGGTCAACCGGTTCAACCAGCCAGTTCAGTCCAGTTTTCCAAACACTTGAAATTTTTAAATTCTAATATTGGAAAACACTTCAAGCAATGGTGATTGCTAGTTGTTGCAAATTTCATAAGCTATATTGAACAAATGCTGATAAGTAGTAGGTATTTATATACATTGACAATTTAAATATAAGAACACCAAAAATTCTACATAATTACASGAATAAACAAAAATTAGGTGCTATTGTCAGATTGGTCCAGTCCCCTTAAAATTTTTTGAATGTCTTTGGACTAAAATAACACAAAGATCACAGATTGCTTTTTCTTAATGCCTCTCATTTTTTTCTCAAAAAAATCCAGCTAAATGGCTAAAATAGAAGAGTTATTTTAGTCAATGAGTACTTAAAATTTTCATAGCAAGAGTGACAACTGGCAATAGCAGCTCCCATTGTGTATGTCTTTACATATATGTATACATTCCAAAGTTCATACCAAGTCTATAGATGGCAAGTACCCATTTGATTACTCAAATAGGACCCAACTACCAATAAAAAATATTGGACCTGAAATGAGTGCATCCATTTCATTTTATTTCTGTAGTAAAGCTTCAACTTTTTGTATCTTTCTACAGTCACCAACTGTCTTATAGATACTTTGCTGATTGTACTTAGTTTTTCAGGGACCTAGCTCAGTAATAAAATCATACTTTACCTTCTTCAGAAAAACATACGGCCCTGAATTGGACCCATATTGAATTAGTCATATAGGACGAAATTATAACAATACAGTCCTGTAAGTTAGACACCTACCTAAATAGATTTAACATTTAGACAAGCCGACAGGAGGTCCTAGGCTTCCAATTCTATGACAGATTTCATATAAAGTAGTGGACATTTTAGACTATACCATAAAAGATGATTGAATCAAGCTTATTGATCTTTGGTTATCAGAGGTGAAGATTTACTTATTCTTCCTACTTGCAGTTTGCACAAGTAAAATCAAATTTCACACATATTAAATCACCATTAAAATCCATTACCAGTAAAACGATAATCCTAAATGGCTAAATCTGGACAAGCTTGGTGAGAATGAAAACTAGCAACCTTCCTCAGATGCAAAGAAAAGTATATGTCATCATTTGCTAGGAATTGTGGGAAGTAATACTTAAGATGTATCAAGAGCCTCCTATATGCCATGGTTTTTGTGGTAGCTATCTGGATGCCCCAACACCACAACTGATTGTTCCATGGCTTAGGTCTATGAAATAGGAGAATTGACCCTCAAGGGAAATGACCTGTATTTGGCAGAAGCCATGTCTTCTAAGGCTCTTTCTTAGTTTCCTCGCCTTTATCAAAAAAGGAAAATCCACACGACTAAATTAATATGATCCACCACTTATAGTTCTTCATTTGTGGATGATTTTCTATGGTTGTAGTTATTCATTGTGAGTACTCATAAAGCATTATCAGTGGTTCTAGAAGAGATAAGGGCAGACCAAAAAATGTACATGGGTTGTGATGAGAAATGACTTAAGGGACCACAATTTAACAATAGATGTAGCACTGAACAGAGAAGAATGGTGGAACAGAATTCATGTAGCCAACCCAATATAGTTGTAGCAAGGCTTAGTTGAGTTGAATTTGTACATCAGTAGGTGATGGGGAAGTTTTCAGAGTGAATACTCGCAGTGCAATGATTCACCAAATCCAAAACAACAAAAAATCACATCTAGTAAAATTTACCTTTTGGTGCAATGATTCACCAAAAAAACTAAAAGAAAAAATAGTCACATCTGGTAAAATTTACCTCCATCTTCCATCTGTTGGCATTTTGGAAAGAAAGAAACATCCCTAACTCCCAAGCAATGTTTTAAAAGTGCAAGGTGCAAAAAAAGCGCAAGGGCCAATTTGTGCCTAAGGTGCAAGGCGCAAGGCGAGACACGCGCCCTTTTAAGCAAGGCACAAAATTACGAAAAAAAAAGCTAAAAAATAACAAAAAAGTGAAAATCCAAAAAAAATTGCCAAAAATTTTTAAAAAATGCAAAAAAAATCAAAAAATATTAAGCATAATGTTAATAAAAAATATAACCTTAAATTTTAAAATAAATGTTTTAAAAAGCCTATTATCTAAAATTAAAATACATAAACATAGCATGTAAAGCATATTCAAATGAAAATTTAAAAATAAAAGCGAACATATAAAGCATTTTCAAGCATGTAAACCCACAATCTCTTTTTTTCCTTAATTGCATTGCTTCAAGTAGCTAATGTGATGTAAAACATATTGCATTTTTTATTCTATGAGTCGCCTTTGTACCACGCCCTTCGAGGCAAGCCCGAACAAGTCTATGTTAGGGTCTGATATTCTTTTTTTTTTATCAGTGAATTGTCAAATTTATTAAATCAAAGCCAAAGATAGTACAAATTAGGGAGAGGCATGAGATGCTACCTCCCCTTTAAGGAGGGGAGATGGAAGAAACCATCAACCCTTTAGCTAAATAACAAAGCAAAGGAAAAAGAAAATTACAAAGAAGCCTAATACAATGAAACCCGAGTAGCCCCTTGTTTAGCAAGATAATCAGCCAAGGCATTAGCCGATCTACCCAACCACTAAACTCTAACTGTCATGCCCCTCAATAGCCATTTTACCTTTTTTAGGATATCCTTAAAGTTCCAAGTGACAGTACATGGGTCACCCAACCATCCTACTACCACCTTGGAGTCTCCTTCAATAATTAAGTTTTGCACTCCAAGTTGATAAGCAATTTGTACCCCCTGTGGTACAACTAGGAGTTCAGCCCTCAAAGAGTCTCCTATTCCCACCAGTCCCGAAAAAAAACAATGATGTTGATGTTCTCATCTCTCAGTACACCACCAATCCCAAATGACCCTAGGTTACCCTGACTACATCTGTCAAAGTTCAGCTTAACAAAACCCTCCATCGGCGGAGTCCAAGTTACTTGAACTCTAGGCTTTCTAGAGGAAGTGAGGACAACTACATACCAATTCCTCATTAAATCCTCAAAGGAATAATCTTGAAAGAGTTTTAAGGATTTCAGCCACAAAATAGTCATTGTAATAATATAGTCTTTGACCTCAAGAATGCTTCTTTACTTCTCCTGAAAAATTCTGGAATTTCTCTCTTCCCAAATAGTCCAAAGGAGAGCTGCTCTTATACACTTCAACATGATTCTCCCTCTTCTTGTGGTCCACACAAAGGTAGAAGGGCAAAAGAGCAAATTTACCTCAATTGGCAAGTTCCACCTGCATTCAAGCAAATCAAATACCCAATTCCAAATGACTACAGCAAAAGGACAAGAAATCAATAAGTGGTAACAGTCCTCATTATGCACTTTGCACAAAATACACCAGTTAGGGGATAAACACAAGAAAGGTCTTTTCTTCTGTAGGTTATTCATCGTATTGATTTTACCAATAGTAAACTTCCCAACAAAACATGGCTATTTTTGGGAGAATAGGCCTAGACAAGACTTCCTTAACTGGGAAAGCCCCAGGAGAGGAAATGGAACAAAGAGAATTAAAGAAAGAAGCACAAGTAAACGACCCTTTCGGAATCAAAGTCCAAATCCTCCTATCAGAAATGAGTGGGTCCAAGCAAACAGAATCAAGTAGCAATAAGAGCTCAGAAACTGATAGGGATTCCTCATCCCTCAACCCTCTACGAAAGCCAAGGTCCCAATTTGTCAACAAGGGGGTATACGGGAACGAAAGAAAGGAAGACACTGGTTCTTTTTTATAAAGGGAAATAGAGAAGAGAGAAGAGAATAGATCCTTAAGGGGCAAATTTCCCACCCAAGTGTCTTCCCAGAAAAGAACCTAAGTCCCAGAGCAAGCATCATACCTTACAAAGCGTAGGAACTGTGGGAGGCTGCCATGAATTGCCTTCCAAGGTGTTGCAAGAGTTGCCCATCTGGATACCCCTACATCCCAACCATTTCCARAACAGCCATGGATACTTGCCACCACTTCACACCATAACCTCTCCCTCTCTAAAGGCCATCTCCACAACCACTTACCTAGAAGAGCTGCATTCTTAAAAGTGATATTCCCTAATCCTAATCCTCCTTACTTTGACTAACTAACTCCCATCTAGTCAAATGATCCTTCTTCTCTTGCCCCAGCTCCCACAAGAAGTCCCTCATCATCTTCTCTATCCTCTTAGCTTCCCTAGTAGGAACCTTAAAGATAAACAGAAAGTAAACCGGTAAATTAGCAAGTGTGGATTTAATCAAAATCACTCTACCCCCCACAAAGTTATAATTCTTTTTCCAGCTTGCCAACTTCTTTCCAAACTTTTCCACAACAGGGATCCAAAACCGGCTTTCCTTTGGGTTAGCTCCTAGGGAAAGACCCAGATAAGTTAAGGGCCAGGATGAGGTGGAGCACTCTTAAGCAACATGCAATAGCCTCTATTTCTTGAGCATCCATAATGATTCCCACCACACAACTTTTTTCAAAGTTGATTTTTAGATTTGAGGCCTTTTCAAAAAAATTAATTATTTCTCACATAAAAATTAGATTTGAGGTCTGATATTCTTATTTCTCACATAAAAAATAATGGTTTTATAACTTTCATTGACTTTTAAGAAGATTTTTTATTACAATGAATGAATGAACAACATTAGCAAATAGGGGGGTTCTCAGAGCTCCGGTGAGCAAGCAAAAGCCCCCAGCCCAACCGTTAGACTCAAAAAAAAAAAGCAAAAGCGCAAATTTTTAAAAAGGACACGCCTGGGTTGAGGAGCAAGGCGCATCAGGCGCATGCCTAGGCGCATCAGGCTCACGCCTAGGCACACCAGGCGTGCGCCTTTTGAAAGGGGTGCGCCTAGGACCTGGAGGAGGCGCATACCCCAAAATGCGCCTTGCCTATGCGCCTAGGCGTGCCTTTTAAATCATTGCTCCCAAGGCAAAAGGTGTCCCAAGTTGTTGGTTATTGGTGAAGTGGAGTGCTAATTTACTTTTAGTCCTCTATCTTAGAGGGGTTTAGAGATTTAGGATAGAGTCATATTTATAATAATAATAATAATACCATTATCATTGAAGCTCAAACTGCAAAAGTTCCATATTTTGTACTTGTATAAATACATACCAACTAGTCAACTACTGTGTGTGATTTTTTCATACAAGGTTTCATAACTGTTTTACCCATATTAAATACAATACTTCTCACACATGCATATACCAACTATTGTAAGCCTTTTGCATACAGGATTTCCATATTTTGCACAATGTAGATTCATACCAACTATGAGTTTTCACATATAGGGCTTCTTTCCCCTTTTTATCTATATTCAATCAGATATTGCTCAGTTGTGTATATACATATGTATGGTGATATCCATCATTAAAAATATAAGATAGCAAAGATATCTTGGTTAATTCCCAGCTGATTTCAACATCAAAGGTGAGCCTAATCTGCTTATTTACCATGGGGGGAGGAACATCCTATATCATACAAAAACATAGTAAGTACAGCAAACATTGGGTAATCCTGTAAGTTTTGTAATTTTGTTAAAATGTATTATGCATGGAAGGTTGTGAAGCACTGCAATAAACTCCGCTGTATCAGAGGCACCTACCAAAAATTCAATACCACTCATAAGTGGAATTATATCAGTTACAAAAGGAATCATATGTCACTTAGTCAAGGAGTGGGGATAATTAATGACAGTGGGCCTCTTTGGGACATCTAATGAAATTAGAACTATATGAAGATGATTAAAATGGCCCCTGTGCCTGCACAATCCATGGTCCAAATTTTTACTGACCAAAAAAAGAACAATGACAACAAGTGGATTAGATGTTTCAGACGAGAGGAACCTCTAATATAACAATTAGACCAAGAGACTTAGAAATGATTACACTACTTAAAACTGTGCATATACATTCATAAATGTATATATACATATATTTGCAAGTTAGTTTTGGGGAATAAATGGATATAATATTTTAATTTCAATCATTTAACTTAAGGTATATCTTCTACATCATGTTTCACAAATGGGACTCACAAATTTCTTTTGCAATGGAGTTTTTTATTTACCCATCGTAACAAAACTTATTTATATACTAATGGAAATGAGATATTCTCCATTCAATAAGAATGTACTTAAATAATGACTACTTGCTTTGCTCGATCCAAAGAAATCTTTCACCATTTCCGTTTTAGATTCATATTCCAGATTTTGAGTTCTCAAGATCCATAAATACTGTCGCCAGACCATGTTAATGAATTTATGACCGAAGAATTTGCTGTGGAACTTAGAAGTATTTATACGTAACTTATGATATTAATAAATACACTACTACCACAACATCTGATACGGCTATTTTTGTAATTATTTACTCGCTCTAAACCAAAATATATTATCCTGGGGCCGATGATCTACTTATAGTTAGTTATATTTAGTACTGGGTCTATACAGGACAATGAAAACAAAACCTCAGAAAAAAATTAATACAAGTAAAAGCTACCTTTCAGGTTGCATAAAAAAAATATGTAAAAAGTACACAATTGGTTTAAATGTAAGTATACAGCGAACAAAGCTAGATAGCAGATTGAAGGTTTTCTGCTTCTTTAACGGAATATAAATTTCATTACATATCATCACAAGCTAATAGAAAATAAATAAACACGCATTCGCGATCACTAAGCGGAACAACTACGACCTATACGAACATCGAACAAACTTTTTTTTACTCCAAACAAACTAAGGTTCTAAGCATATTAGTAAAAGAGAGAAATAATAAATAATTGAAGCCTTTGCATGGAACCGATCTATATTAAATCGTGTATACAAGGGAAGATACGATAAACAAATGATGAAGAATAAGATGCATGAATTGAAATATGAATTACGAAAGCTATAGCAGTGAAATCGAGCATGCATTAAGGAAATGGATCAAGCTTACAACAAAGAAGCAGTAACCGATCGCCGACGAAGCAAGAACGAAGTTAGGGTTTTAGAAAATATAGGGTTTATAAGGAAATTAGGTCTTATAAGGAAATTTATTTTCTCCTCCACTGTGGTGCTGAATGATCGGGGAAGATAGGCAATTAGGAATGAACAGTCGTTACTCTTCTTAGTTCTTATGTTGAGAGGGAGAGATGAATAGCTGTATACAATTAATTTAATTAATTAATGCTTAGTAAGAAACTACTTTTCCCAGTGCACATGGACTATTTCTCTTGCCACGTGGATGAACAAACAGGCCAACCGACTTCCATTGTTCGTGTATGTGGGTCCCACCATGTCTTTAGAATTCCTTTGGTTTCAGGTTCCGATTTCCAAATAGGAGAGAGAGAGAGAGCGCGCACGGAACTCGCAGCCGTGCAGACTCGGGCTCTTGATTTACTATTTGAGATGCCACATGTAACATTTTAGTCACGTAGCTTTCCTACATTCACGATCCGTGTAGAGAACTGGTTATGCTTGGCGGGTGTTTGGAAAAACCGCGCCCGCCTTTTTCGAAGAGGAAGCTAATTTGTTGCAAACGTGGAACCCATGTGAGTTTGTGAGWTTGTGAGTTTGTTACTTTTTTTGTAAGGCAGTCGAATTGGAGAATTGATGATCGTAGCCTTTCGTAGGGAACTCCGATTGATTTGTTTCGCCAGAGCACGCCCCCACAACACATCTCAGTCGTGTATTGAGAATATTTTTCGTTGAGAATTCATCTGAAAAAAATAAATAAATGTATCCATTGCTACTCCCATTGGGCTATATTACCGATCACAAATGAATACACATGCATCAAGCAGCAGATCCCAAGTGGTGAGGATATCAATCACAAACTTCTATGCCAATGTTAAGCATTATGGTATATGGATGAAGTAAATTGCCATGTATATGAATAGTATAATAAATTAAATTCAATTTTATCAAAATATTATAATGTATTAATAAAATGAATTAAAAATGACTTTTATATAATATTTTGTGAACAAAATTAATTGAGCATCTATTATAAATATATACATATATATTATATATATTAAAGGAAGGTCTTCAAATTCCAGCCCCCACCATTTAGACACGTGGCATTCTCAATTTTTTTATAAATCTAAACACGTGGCATTTTTTTTAAAATTGCTATTAATGCCCACTACCAACATTTAAACAAGTGGCATTCCCAATTTCTGGAAAGCTAGACACATGGCACAAGAAACTCCTACTAAAGCCTACAACCCACTAACATGTTACAACCCTCCACCATTTAGACATGTGGCATTCTCATTTTCTGAAAAGGTAGACACATGACATTTTTTAAGAAATTGCCGCTAAAGCCAAGAGGCCACTACCACCGCGTCGCATCCTATTAATTCAATAAGTAGGATTCAAAAAGTGGGTAGTTTCACTCATAAGCATTCTCAATAGACATTTATTTATTAGATTAACACATGTTTATCCATATTTTATTAAATACAAATGGTGGGACCCATTAAAAAATTATCATAAACCCACTTTTGTTTTAAAATGTTTTTTTTTCAAAAATAAAATTATTTATTAATTACAATTTTGATTTAACTTTTAGGAAGCAACCTAATTAAACTTTTAAAATAGATTTATTGGATAAATAGTAAATACCAAATAAAGTAGGTTATTGTTTACGAATAAGGTCTCATTTAATATCTTAAATCAAATAAAATAAATTAATTAATAATGGTTTTCAAATAAAATAGGTTAGAATAGATTTTCAATAACAAATATGCAAGGCCCGTATTAGTTTTTTTTAATTTAATTTTTGATAACTAAATAATAAGCTTCAAACTAAATTATACACACATTTAGTTACCCCGTACCTAGTACAAGGGTCATTCTCTAATGTATACATACATACATACATACATACATACATACATACATACATACATACATACATACATACATACATACATACATACATACATACATACAT